TTATTTCTCAATTAAAATACGAAAAGATGGGGATTCTTACAGAAACAACATTTTGGTCATTTGACTGAATTTCTCCCCCAAATCAATATCCTGGGCTCTATATAGTTGCAGCTTTTTTTTTTTTTCTCTGAAAAATCAGTGTGCTTGGCTCAACTAGTTAAAAAATGAGAACTGAAACAAACAGCTGGATTCATTTAAGATGTTTCCTTTTCATTTCAGTTTGAAATAAACTTTTCAGCAGATTGCCTTTGTGGCAGTTGAAGGCCAACATAAATTTATACAGCAGAGTTTCTTGCCTTTAAAAAACCAAGACTTCCTGGTGCTTGAGCCAACAAAGCCTTCATCGGGAGTTGGGAATTGGCAGGCAGCTGCAAAGCCCAGGACTTTGTCAGCTTCATTCACAGAGTGGGGACACCTGCTCTCTGGGAAGATGTGACCAATTCAAATACAAACTGGCGGGGGTACTCTGAGGATGGGAGCACAAGTTGTCAATGGATATAATTTTGTGCTACTCACCAAGGCCCCCTGCCCAGCCCCTGGTCCTTTCTCTCGATTGCATACCTCCTAGGTGGGCAATAACAAATTGTTAATTTTCCAAAGAGGAATAAAAGTCATAGCATGCTGTGAAAATCTCTGTTGACTGTGCAAAAGCAGTGTTTGTCCCCTGTTCTCAAGCCTCAGCTTTTTGTTCACATTTATCATTTTCTCAGTGGGAGCGAGTCTGCCTATTTTACCAAAGGATTTTTTACCTGAATCTAGTTCAGGTATGCTGGGAATTATATGTATGGAAACCACTCAACAAAGGGAAATGAGAAAGTACAGATAGGCGAGGTGATAATTTCATTTAACTTATTCAACAAATATGTATGCTTATATCAATTATGAACCATACTTTGTTTTGGATGCTGGGACACCATGAATAACAGACTGGGTCTCTACTTTAATTGGGCTCATTGATATTATTTAGATAATCATTCAGACAGATGGAAAAGCACAAATATGAGTGGGGCCATGAAAGAGGGGTGGATGTATCTGTAGGAGACCTTGCCAAGGATTTGGCCAGACCCAGAGGCCAGACCACACAAGTTCACACTCAGTGTTAGATCTTTGCCTATGAACAATGAGCATATTATCAATGGGATTACCAGGGATGTGATACAACTAAATTTGTTTTATCTCACTCTGTGCTTATAAACTGAAACCGGGTAAATCCCATGGCATGCTATTTGACACATGTTTGCATGAAGAAGGTATACTTGTTAGTGCTATAATTAATTACCTGGCTGAACTTGGAGAAATTAGCATAAAAATGCCCTTTTAAAAATAAATATCAGAAAAATCTGACAGCCAATGTGTTGAGTCCTCTTGTTGACCTCAGCAGATAAAATCAACTGAAGGTGTTAACTCAGATTCAGAAAATTACTTGGATCTTGGTTTATGTAAGTTTATGCTCTACATGCAAAATTAACGAAATACGGAAGCTAATGAAATTGTTTCGTGTGCTATAGAGAGTTGAATAGAGTCCTCTCAAAATTCACGTTCACCCCGAACCTCAGAAAGTGACTTTAATAGAAATAAGATATTTGCAGACATAATTAAGATCTCCAGATGAAATTATTTTGGACGTAGGGTGGACCCTTTAAAGAGAAAGGAAAGGGAGATTTGAACACAGATAGACACAGAGAGAAGCAGGCCCTGTAAAGACAGAGGCGGAGAGTTACGCTGCCACAAGCCAAGGAATGCTGGAAGGAAGCAGAACCAGGAAGAGGCAAGGAAGGTTCTCCCACGAGCCTTTGCACGGAGCCCTGCTGACACCTTGATTTCAGACTTCTGGCCTCCAGAACTATAAGAGAACACATTTGTTGTTTTAAGCCACCAAGTTTGTGGTGATTTGTGAAACTAATACCTGGCTGTAAATAGGCTCCCCACCACCAAGAGTTAAGGTAATTATAGAAATGTTTTTTCACTGATTTTTTTTTTTTGGCCTGAAGTACTATAAAATTGCTCTAGTGTACCAAATTTTGCACCAGTTTTTCTTCTCCCCTTAAAAAAAAAAAAAAAAAGTGAAACCAAAGTGTTTTCCTCAGGCCCTTATTGCCTGCTTTAACAGCATTTATAGGAAGGAATTTTTACACATCTGTAAAAGATTTTTTTTTAAGTTTACATTAAACCTAAGTTATGGACAACTTTTGGTTCAAATCACATAGGGTAAGTGAAAATAAATTGTATTACATTAACCAATGTGGATGTCTTTCTGAAAGCATGGTTATATTGATGTAAACCTTAATATAGAACAAACAAATGACAAGCAAAAACAAGGAAGGTCATTCTGGCTACATTGGGGTGAACAGATTGAAAGGAGTCAAGACTGGAGATAAAACCCTTCACTGGAAGCGGGTAGAAAGTGTTAATGTGTTTGTAAGTGGGAGGACTCTGGTTCTTTGTGCAGGGAGAACCCAGATTGGGGTGGGTGGTGTTGGGAGCCTGTCTGTGCACTTGAACAAGGCTTTGAGGGAGAAAGGCTGCTCCATGTAAATGAACCAATGGGTTAGGATGTAGAGCATCCCAAGGGGCCACCAAAGCAGCCTGGAGACCAGAAGGTGTTTTTCAATCATTCTCAAATATTCTATGAAGAGGGGTCTTGTAACAAGATCTTAGGCTTCAGCCTCTAGACTCAATGCTCAGTTTAATTAATTTAGCAAGATAAAATAACTTGATTTATACATATCCAACATTGTAGAGCAAAATCGTCCTGACTGCATAAAGCTTTTTTGCAAAGTTTACACTTTTTGAATTAGATTCTGAATGAATTTTGGAGCACAGACACTTACATAAAAGGATCCAAGTCTCTCTTTTAGTCCCAGTGACTAAAAGACATTAGCTAGCTATTCTATTCCACTGGCTATTCCAGCCAGTCAGAATTTCTTCTGCTTCCTTTCACTTCACTTTCTCTGGGCTTCTGGGTAGCGGCATTGTTTCCTTTCTGCCCTGTTTGTTTTTAATCTGCTCTTCCTCCAGATGGTCAGAGCCCTCAGGGAGAGTTGGAGGAGAGCTGATCACTGTCCTCTCAGTCACCTTTCTGGACCTGAAGTCAGCTAACAAGTTAAACCTACACAAACACAGATGCTTGTAACCACACAGCGCACCTCCAGAAGGTACATGAGAAGCAGGTAACATTGCATCTGGGGAGGACATCTACTATCTGAAGACCTGGGAGAAAAGATCATTCTCTTCACTCTATACCTTTTTGAATGCTTTAATTTTTTTAATGTATATATTGCTATTACTCCAGGAAAGAAAAAAAATACTAAGCAAATAACAGAATCACCACTTAAATATAGAAATTAATTCCATGCTTTAATAAGGTAATCTCAATTTCTGTAACTTTTCCATAAAGCACCATTTCCTAACCATTTTATATACGTTGACTCATTTAGTTCTCATAGCAACCCCATGTGGTAAGTGTTACTATTATCCCAGTTCTACACATGAAGAAACTGAGGCACAGAAAGGTTAAATAACTTGCCAAAAATTGCAGGGCTATTAAGTGGCAGCCCAGAATCAGAACTCAGAGAGCTGAGTCCAGAACGCATGCTCTCAGCCACACACATCGCCTTGCCTGTGACTGCTGTGGATGGCATGCAGTGGTTTCAAGGCTCTCCTTTGTTCCTTCGATACCATCCTTGGGAATGTCTACATAAACCTATTGGAGGGAATTTCCAGGAGTGTATTTTACCAAAGGGACTAGAGGTCCGCTTGAGAAAGAACACACAATAGGGAAAGAAAGCCAAGCTGGTTAAAGGGCTGTCTTCTGTCTGTCTCTTGGGTCATCTTCCACATCGGCACCATGCCTGAGGCATGTGGTGAACGGGTTGCACTCTACTGAATGTAAAAATGAAAAGGGATGTGACAGGGCAAGCACCTGTATCTCCATCAGTCACAGGAGATGGTGATGGAAGATTCCGGAGATGGCACACTCAGTGATGGAACACTCAGGGCTCGGCGCCAGTCCTGATTGCTTTGACTGGGTTCTGGTGGGCACCAGCAGTGGAGCTGGTATCAACAGCAGAGTCACATTTTTTTCTGTCAGCAGTGACCAGATCCATCTCTATTGCAATGTGGAAAAGGCAGGAGGAAAATGACGCCTGTCATTGCTAAAGGATTTCGCTTGGGAAACATGCGAGTTCCTAATGAAACGTCCCAGAAATGTTTGGAAGGAGTTTCAGGGGGACTGAAGTGACTGTAGAACAAGTTGCTATAAAATTAGAAAAATACTCTTTTGTCTCTAACCTTACTCCCAGGCTGCTATAGCCTGATTTACATAGGTTCAACAACAAATTCAGATTTTATAGTGTCTGCATATTATACAAATTGGAGGCCCTCTTCAAGGATAAAGAAGTAGAAATGCACAATGAGGTGCAGGGTGTAGGGTTCAGAACACCCCAACATGTGCCTCTGTGGTATGTAGATTGTTTTGAGCTAAAGGCAACCAAGACCCTGTGGGTACAAGAGAAGCTTCTGCCACCGCCCCGTAACTACGGAGAAGAATTTGAATTAGGGGCCTTGCACATAATAAGAGATTATCAGAGATAACCCTTTCTGACCTATGTATAGGGCAGGGCAAACTTCTTCCTGAACATCTGCTCTTCTTACCTTCCTCCCCTCTGAAACCCCAAGGTGATCCTTAGCTCAGAATGTCATGTCTACATCCCTCATTTTCTGCCTTGGAACCTCTCATGTGGGTTCTTTGACTCTCTCCTGTATGTTGGGTTCCTGTGTGCACAAAATTAAGTTTGATTTTTTCCTATCACTCTGTCTCATGTTGATTATATTATTCAATGAGCCAAAAGAACCAGAGGAGGGAAAGGGAAAAATTTTCCTTTCCTCACAAGGACCCTGGAAGAGGTTGTGGAAAGAATCCAATTCACTAGATTTAGTACCTTAGCCCCTGCAGAAGTGGGAAGAGTCAATAATACTTACCCAAATGTATCACACATTATAGATTTCTCAACTTGCTTCCCCCAGCTATGGCTCTTTAAAGGGTCTCATTCTGAGAAAGAAAACATCGTAAAATAAAGCATAACTCAGTTTAAGAATTAAAGTTGCAAAAAGTGTTCTTTGCCACAAAGTTTTGGTGTGTTGAGCAGTGTGCAAAGAATAATTAGCTTAACAGCCACCCACAACAGAACTGTGTCCCTAACATCATCTTTCAATTGAAAGTGTAGATATACTCTGCTAAGTAGCAGATTGAAGGTCAGACCAAGAGAAAGCTAATTATCAAGTGTGAAATGTATTGCTGCTTAATACCTTTTATAGACACAAAGCAAATTGCTCCTGAAGAGACACATTTGCAACATGAAAAAACACTTGAAAAGATGACTCTCTATGAATGTCATACAGTTAAGCTTTTGTGTCTTGTTGAAGAATCCAAAGCTGAAGACACTTTCCATGGAGCATAACCTGAAAACTAAAGGTAAATATAAATGACATGTAACTGTAATGATGTGAAGTGTTTGACAATCGTAAATTTAACTGTCTCTTTGATCAAATTTGTGTAGCCAAAAGGAAGAAAAGAAACCGTAAAACTGGGTTTTGATATTTTTCTTACGTAGCAGTTTCTCAATATTGCTTTAAATATTTACTCTCAAAGTTTGGTTTCATCTACTAATCTAGAGATAATTCAAGCTAAGTTTCTGCTTAGGTTCCATTTTCTGACTCTCCAATCCAGCTCCATTCTTGTTGCTTGAGTAATTTTTACTATCTTATTATCCCACTTAAAATCTTTTGGAAGTTCCCTATCAACTACAGACATGGTGTGAACTCTTAGTATGACATACAAGAATCTCCACATGGGGCCCTGACTTCCTATTCAGCCTCCTTCCCTCTGAAAATCCTCTCTGCAACTCCATCCCCTTCCTGGCTGCATGACTACAGTTCCCCCAGCCCTCCAGCCGATTGCTCCCTCCAGCTCTGAATGCCGTTTTCCAGCTCCAGGCAAACAATTATTCTCCCTTTAGACTCAACTCCATGGACATTTTCTCTGGAGCTTTTTCAGAGGAATGATCACATTATCTCTGTATCTCCTTGGCCCTCTGCGCTTCTGCCCAAAGCACATTAAACTCTTTAAATAACTATTTGTTTACTTGCCAATCTTCCCCTTTTACTCTACACACCTCTAAAAAACAAAGGAGACCTAAGACCATGCCTAAGCTGCATTCTTTTTTGCATTGCCCCTACTTAATTTGGTTCTGGGTACATGTGTGTTCCGTGCTGTTGAGTCAGCTCTGACTCCTGGAGACATATGAATGAGTGATGTCTACAATTGCTTGTGCTCAACTGCCCCATTGAATTCTTGTAAACTCCTGCCTATAGCTTTTATGGAGTCAGTCCATCTCATGTTTGGCCTTTTTTTCCCCCCCTGCTACCTTCTATTTTTCCCAGCAACCCCAAGGGTGCTTAATAAACATTAGATGACTTGTTAAGGAATGAATTGGAGAACTTTGAGATGAACTGTATCTTCTTTCAGACATCCTTCCTTTAGGTGTCTTTTCAAATGCCAACTGATGTAAAAACACCTCACCTCTCCTTACCCAGTACTTCCATATTCTGATTTGTTCTTGTCTGTAACATGTTATACATTTAGTTGTTTCTTTATTGATTGTCTCCATGTCCCTCAGCTCCCCACCAGAATGTAAACACAATAAATTAAAAAAAGAAAACCAAAAACAAGGACTGTTCATTATGCTCTGTTCCTACCACTGAGAACAATCCCTGGCAGTTCATACATTTTTATTGAATGAAATTAGTCCAGCGGTTTTTAACTAGAATGCATACTCCCAAGAGGAGGAAATTGGAGTGCCGTAGTGGTAAGGTTGCCAGATTTAGCAAATAAAACTAGTGGATGTCCAGTTAAATTTGAATATGAGGTAAATAATGAATAACATTTGTGTAAGCAGGTTTCATGGGATATTTAACATACATTAATGCTACAAAATTATTTGTTTATTTGAAATTCAAATTTAACTGTGTGATTTATATTTTATCTGGCGATTCTAATTGGGGACTTTTCTAAACTTGGTGTAACTTGTCTCCTCAGAGATTCTGAAAATTCTGAGTTAAGAATCATGTTGTATTTTGCCACTGTGACTAATGGTATTGTTTCATAGCCTTCAAGTGTGTTAGGGTGGAAACATGATTGATAGCCCTTATTTAATCCAATGTTTTTTATTTTATAAATAAGGAAGACATAGGATCAAGAAAATGCTGGTAGAACCAATGCAGTGTAGTGTAGTGGTTTCCTAACGTACCTACTGTGTTTTATGTGCCTGTTACTGGGAATGGTCAAACTAGAGAGTAAAAGAGATCCCTGACTTAGCTGGACAAAAGAAATCAATAGGTGAAACAGTTATAGAGCAGAGGAAATGCTGAATGGTTTAATGTTGACTCTAAACATGAATGAATCCAGAAAAGATGAGGTTGCAGATGAGTTCAGTTGTAGGGGAGGCTGTGGACGTTGAACTGGATGGACACAGGTGGGTGGTGGAATGGCCACACCTGCCTGATGCAGTGTGCAGCAGCACACAGAGGAAAAGGGGCTTAGCACTTTCAGGGTGGACTGAGGAGGCAGACCTCCCTGGGTGGAGCAGGGGGTGTGAGAGAGTAGTAGTGAGTGGAGTGTGTGTGTCTGTGGAGTAAAGAGATTATGGAGGGAGCTGGCAACACAAGAAACATAGCTGGGGAACAATTCTAGGCTGCAGTAGCCAGAGTTGAAGTTCTGTAAGTCACAAGTCTGGTGGGAGCATCTGGTTTTTTGGTCTGGGTCTCCCAAGGTCTAAATCAGGGTGTTGGACAGCATGGGCTTTGATCTGGAGGCTCTGGGGGAAAGTCTGCGTCCAGACGCATTTACGTTTTTGGTCTAATTCAGCTCCATGCAGTTGTAGAACTGCGGTCCCTGTTTCCTTGTTGGCTGCCAGTAGAAAGGCAGACATTGTTTTCAGTTTCTAGAGCTACCTGCATTCCTTGGCTCATGGCCCTTTTTGCTCCATCTTCAAAGTCCATGATGCTGGGTTAAGTCCTTCCCGAGCCTTGAATCCCTGATTTTTATCTCTCCTGCCTCTTGTTCTGCTACTCAAGTGATTAACTTGGCCCTCATTCCTTTAATCCAAGATGATTTCCTTATTTTATTTTATTTTATTTTATTTTTTAGCTGAGCCATCCTGCCACCTGTTGGCAGCTCAGCGGCTGCTCAGCTCGGGCCGGGACTCGAACTGCTGCTGCTCAGAGCTCGCACTCTTGAGCGAGCTCTTAACCAACTGAGCCACTCGGCCGGCCCAATGATTTTCTTATTTTAGGACCCCATAACCTTAATCCCCTCTGCCATGTCCCTTTGGCCATTTAATATAACATATTCACAGACATGACACCAGGGGTGAAGATCATAGGGACCAAAGACCTGTTTACCACAGGTATCTATTGCCTTAGAAAATGATAATATATACATGTATTTACATAAAGGAACACTTGAAGCATAACATAGGAGATTATATATTTGGTAGTTGGGATGAGGAAACAGGCATAAATTGAGACTTCTTAGTGAAAAGCGTTTTATATCATTTTGAGTTTTGAACAAGATGAATAGGTTACCTGGTTTAAAAATAAATAAATATCCTCAAAAAATTAAAGAAAGACTTATAATCCAGCAATTCAATTTTAGGGTATATAACCAAAGTAATGAAAAGCAGAGGCTTCAAAAGATATTTGTACACCCATGTTCAAAGCAGCTTTTATTCTCAATAGCTAAGAGGTGGAAGCTACTCAAATGTCCATCAATGGATCAATGAATAAACAAAGTGTGATGAATAAACAATGAATAAACAAAATATACAGACAATGGAATATTATTAAGCCTTTGGAACGAAAGGAAGTACTGAATCGTGCTATTCTGTGGCTGAACTTTGAGGACATTATAATAAGTAAGATAAGTCACAAAAAGACAAAAACTATATGATTCTACTTATATAAACTACATAAAGTTGTCAAATTCCTAGAAATGGAAAGTAGAATAGTGGTTGCTAGGGACTGGGGGCAGGAGAGAATGGGGGATTGCTGTTTAATGGGTACAGAGTTTTAGTTTTGAAAATAAAATTCTTCTGGAGATTGGTTGCACAATGTGAATATACTTAAAACTACTGAACTGTACACTTAAAAATGTTAAATGGTAAATTTTATGTTTTGTGTATATTACCACAATTAAGATTTTTTTAAATAAAGGAAAAAAAACATTTGTTACCTCAGAAAGTAGATGAAACTCAGGTGGAGGGGTTGGCATTCCTATGGTCCAGTGTTCTGCTCCCACCCCTCACCTCCTGCCCACCCCACTTTAGCAACTGGGCATATGCTGGTGGTTAAATGGAAACTGTTGCCCAGTTCTCTTTACCAGTGGCTTAACCAGCAAAAGTTCTACAGGGATTTGTCCATGTGGCAGGGTCCAACTCATCCCAGCTCTGGGACTGTGGCAAATCTGTGTCTACATCTTGGGCTTCAGACCCAGTTCTCGAGGCTCTCTTAGGCTATGGTTTGCTTTCCTGGATTTCACTTGCTGTTCTATGAGAAATCATCTAGATGATTGACAGTGAGGATGTCCAATCCCCTGTGAATCTCCATCCTTTACCCATAGCAGCATCTTCTCACTCAACAGAAAAATTACTTCAGAATACAGTGCTCTAACATCAATACATTTTGGTGATGAATAACACATCATTCATAGGATGGAAATATCAATTCTCTTTCTCATTGTCTAGACTGAGTTGCCATGACCTTAGTTCAATTTATGTTTTGTTTCTTCTTACATATATCAGGTTATATTTGGGCTGAACTGTGTCCCCCCTGAAATTCATGTCTTAAAGTCCTAACCCCTAGTACCTTAAAATGTGACTATATTTGGAAGTAGAGTTTTTAAAGAAGTAATTCATTTAAAATGAAGTCATGAGGGTGGGCCCTAATTCTAATATTATGGATGCCCTAATAAGAAGAGGAAATTAGGACACAGACACACACAGAAGGAAATCCATATGAAAACACAGGGAGAAAATGCTATCTGTAAGCCAAGGAAAGAGGCCTCAGATGAAATGAACCCTGTGTTGACCTTGATCTCAGATTTCTAGTCTCTAGAATTGAGAAAATAAATTTCTCTTGTTTAAACCACTCAGTCTGTGTTACTATGTTATGGCAGCCCTAGAAATTAATACAGGTAAATATTTGAATCTCCCCAGGAATGAAACATAATTCCACATAAAGGAAACAAAAACCTTCCTGGAGAAGCCAAAAACAAAATGTGCTGAGAATTAGCTATGGCCACACATACATACAAATTTACTTTCCAAATAGATGCTTCCTTTCAGGATACAACACCTGTTCTTCTGGTTGTTTAACAATCTTCTTGAAGACCCATGTGCACTTATTTTAAATTTGTGTAATTAAAGGGGTGGGTTGTGTGTTGGAGCAGGAAGAAAACTCTGCAACACACTGAGAAGAGGAGAAGGGCTGCTACAGCTGTTGGTCCAGCTGAAGCCTGTTGGGCTTCGGCCTTGACCAGTGGCCTCTGAAGCCCATGAACACGGTTTTTCTGGTGTTCTGGAATCCTCCAAGGGACCCAAAGTGTTATTCAGCCAACTCTGGACTATATTCATCACAATCCTTTATTTTCTGATCTATTTCATATTGCCTTCCACTCCCACTCCCTAAATCTGTCTGTGTGTGTGTGTGTGTGTGTGTGTGTGTGTGTGTGTGTGTGTGTGTGTGTGTGTAGGCTTAAATCACTACAGAAGATGTGCAAAGGGAGAGGTTGTATTTTACTGGCTACAGAACATACCTGCTCTAGGAGTGTAGGGAGAAAAGTGATGATGGCATGCCTTCCTGGAACAGCAGAATTTCCCTGGATGAAATGCAAAGCACAGAAGTGAGAACATGTCTAAGATTCTCTTTAACTTTAAAATATTATGTTTTTGCATATAATTCTGGGGAGATTTTCTCTGTCTTATCCTCTCCTTGCCCAGCATGAAGGGAGAATGAGTTAGAAGGATGGCAGGTTAGGAAACCAGGAGATATTTTTGTTTGTGTTGTTGGAAGGGGAAAGGGTTACTAATTTCCCAAATAGATTTGCAGGCTACTAACACTGAGCTGCAATGATGTATGTGGCACTGTGGATAGCACCCAGGCAGAAATGCAAATTTGTCTACTCTCCTTGAACTTGAGGACATGTGGAAGAGGCTTTCCTTAGTGAATGGAGGAGAGCTGCTACAGACTGGCCTTGTTAGTTCCCTGTTGTATGTCTGCTCTTGTTGCTGGGGCAATTTGAGTGGTGAAAAAGCAAGCTGTCCTAATAGTTTCTTTATAAACATATTTAGACCCAGATAAAATGCTGAATACTAAACAAGGTATAAAATGGCCGGTTTTCTACAAGTTTCTCAGCTGAGCTGAAAGAACATCAGGCTTGAGGGTTTATTTCTAAATATACACACACCCCACAGTTCTAATTTATTTATAAACATGCAGACATTATGCCATATCTCTGAAGAAGCTTGAGTCCTCTTCTCATGTTTAAAACTGAAAGACAAGCCTGTTATTTTGAGTGTAAACACTTTGTTTTTCATAGACCAAGAACCTTTTAATTTGTCTTCATTGATCAAAAAGCCAACTTTTATAATTATAAAACCTTTTATAAAGATCATTTATAATCTAAACCAGGAGGGAAAAGTATCTAGAATTACTAAATGTGTAAAAAATGCAAATCTCTTTTTCAAAAAAATCCTTGGTAGAAACAGAGGCATGGAATCATCGAATTCATTCAGATCTGCTGGAACAAAGAATTACCATGAATTCAAACAGGTGAAATCTCACAGACCAGGACCTCTGAGAGCACATGCCCAGCTCCACAGAAAAAAACCAATAAAAACAAACAGATCACTTGTTTAGTCAACTTGAGACTGGGACAATTTTGTCTATTTATACAGATACAACAGGAGGTCTGAAACTCACACTTCAAACACTGACTGTTAATCATGTAAAGTCACCTACAAAGGTGGAGGGTACAGCCAGCTCATGTCAGCTAGCAGAAACAGTACAGCCATTGATAGTGCACCACACCTTGTCAGCATGGACAAAAGACAGCACTGCCTCTGACGTGCAACACATCATCATGGAGTGGGGGTTGCTGGTCACTCAGGGAGTAGGAAAACCAGAGAAGCTATGCCCTGAGGGCCTCAAATTCTCATGTGAAAAATGAGGAAGGTAGACCAGATGGGTGTTTCCTAAACAATGGACCATAAAAATAGGATTCTCTGAGTAAGTTTAGAAAAGCCTGGGTTAAATAGAATTCTTGACTTCTATATTTCTTAGACTCTATATATTAATGATATTGTGACTCCCCCGCAAATGGGGATAAGATACATGATATCTTCTAAAAGTGCTTAAAAACAGAATCCTTTGGGAAATGCTGAACTAGCAGGTCTTATTATTCATAATTCCAGGAACAGAATGGGGCCATGAGATGCAGGAGCAGGGTAAGAGAGAGACTGATGGCTCCTGTTTCCAGAACCCTCTCTATGCCTTCTTAAGAATGGAAGAAGCTGGAAAGGCCTCTTGGAGTATTTGTGGCAATATCAGGGGCTATAATTTTGCAAAACCAAATGACACCAGCACTTTCTAATTAAGGTGAAGTGTGTTTAGGCAGAGGATGTACTGACCTGTAATGTGTGGGTTTAAGTACTGGAAAGTTACCCCCATCCTCCAAAACCCCAATTCTTTAGCTACTAACAATGAATCCCTTAATTCTAGTCATGTTTTCTGTGCTGTGTTAAAATGCAAATACCCCAGGAGAGAGGAACCTTTAACTCTAATATGTTATAAATGTGTATGAAGCTGAAAATGTCAGATTCTTTTCTGAGGAAAGCCTTTTGATTAAAAAAAAAAAGGAAGTGTAAAAAAAATTGAATATTGGTTGACGTAGAGGAAAGGGAGCAGAAAGGGGATTGTAGAAACGGCAAGAGAATCTCAGATTTTAACGACTGTCTAAGTTGGTTTCTTTAGAAACAGAGCCTAAGACAAGGATTTTTGTGGAAGAAATGCTCTTGGGAGAAAAGAGGTTGAGAAAGCAAGATCCGACAGGGGAGGATAACTAAGTACGGAGGAGCTCGGCTGCAACCGAGCTTCAAGTAGGCCCTACCAGGAAGTGTGGGCCACAGCTGTCCCACAGAACTTGTCTCACCCTGGAGCAGAGACTAGCCATTTGTACCTCTGTGTCAGGCAGTCACTGGTTGCCCGCTGTCCGACCCTTCATCCCTGGGGCCGGGCATAACCTTCCAGAGGAAGAGACTCTCATTCAGCTAAGGGCACTGCACTAATGAAGAGGCCATGTGTGAACCTTCTGGGTCCAATGCTCACTGCAGCTGGGACATGGGCACTGCAGCCAGATGACAGAGATCCTGGTGAGATACCGGCTGCATCCACAACACACACACTCAGAATTGGCTTGGTTTGCCTAACAAAATTTCACGTAACTGGAATAGCTTATGAAATTTCTCATGTTATCTCCTCTTGGAATCCTAGGTGTTGATTAAAATCTTTTTCTGGTGAGAGTTTGACATTTCCTTTGGGGAAATTTAACAGTATTCTAAGTTCTTCCAGTAATTACTAAGGGTTAAAGGAATTATGATGTTTTCCCATCTGTCCAGATTATTTTTTTCTTCCTAGCAAAAGGATTTTTAAAAGGCTACTTGATATGCCCATATCCATTTGAGCAATATTAAAGTTCTATATTGCAAAAAAGAGGGGGCATATTTTGAAAAAGCTAGTTTCAAGGCATTCATTTTTCTCACAGATCTGCCCACAAAAAAAAAAAAGAAAGAAAGAAAAGGAAAAAAAAAAAGAAACCTCTGTCTTTCAGATATTCTTTACCATAAAGCAATTCTAGACCTATTTCTTTCAAGGTAATCATTTGTAGTTATTAGTGTAAGAGTAGTGTGCTTCTTATTGTAAAGGTAACTTAATTAATTTGCCAATAATTATTATTTCACTATAAAGTCTTTTCTGGAGTGTGCCTTGGGGACTTTTAACAACCTCCAGTTCCCTTTTCTAAGTATTTATCAAATGATGGGGGAATTCTGCTTAATTCATTCCCTTATTTCTGTTGTTGTTTGATAAGTTTATTTAGGTGATCTCTGTATCCTGTGTATTTTATTAAATTACATTTCCAGTCCTCCTGGAAATTCATCAGGGAAAGGTCTATGAGTATTTCTAGAAGACCTTATCCAAGGCTGTATGCTGTCTGGAAACCCAAGCAGAGAGCTAGGAATCATAGCAAAGTCTAGGTCAGTATGAAGACAGAGGATATACCTCACATGTCTGTTGAGAGGGTTTGTCCATCACCTTCAGATTATGTGATCCTTTCTAAAAATGGGATTTTCTTTTATTCCCTACCAGCCTTGAATAAAAGAGGCACTTAAATTAATTACAAAACTTCACATCTTCCTTCCTGCTGGTCAGACTTATATTACTTTTGATGGTGTGTGTGTGTGTGAAGGGGAGGTCAGGGATGATATCGTGTGGTAAAAAGTGCTATTTTTTCATCTTTCCCTCCTCCGTGGCTTATTTACAATATCTATGCTTTTAATTTTCTGGGCTTTGGCTTTACATTTAAAGTTAAGCCCTTCCCTTGGAATTCCAAAAATAATATCTTTCCCCCCAACCGCAACTCCCCCCAAACCCTCCTACTTTTCTCTCTCTCTCAAAAAAAACAAAAAAAACAACAACCCAAAAACAAAGAAACGACAACAACAAAACCTGGCTTATGTAAATAAAAAGTGCTGTGGCTTCCAATCAATTGGGTCTGCTATGATTTTACAAACTCCATTCAGCAATTTGAGTTCAGGCTCACTCCCCTGAAAAGCAGTGTATATCTGTTTTTGTGAAAACCAAACTGCAGCTTGAATGGTGGAAATGTATAGGAAGAACAGGGAACAGCAGTTTCCTAATGTAGCCAAACATTATCCCCAATACAGTGTTCTTACCTTTTTGTAGAATTAAATGGAATGCTGTGGACATAGCTAAAGGTTTCCCGCGGGTGTGGAGAACCGGAAGTCATCCTCACAGCTAGCAGCACACGCAGGCCATGCTGGGTGACTGCTCAGCACACTGCCTCCTCCTTCCCACTTCCCACACATCAGAGAGAAAACATGGTCCTCAGATGGACATTTATCTTCTTCCCCCACCCCCACTTCTAAACGAACCTCAGTTAGAGCCCTTTCTTTCCTTTTTTCCTTCTGGCTCAAAAGATAAATAATAGTTCCTATTTTCCTCTAATTCAGATCCTGGAAAATGTCTAATTGTCAGTTAGGACACGCGGCAACTAGCCCCTCTTCTGAGACTTTTTGACTGATTCAGCATCTGTCACATCTGTCACTTCACCTTCCTGCTCTTCTATTTCAGTTCGGCTCTCCCTACTCTGTATCTCTGGACACATCTTTTTCTCTCTCACTGGACTGTGAGCTGCTCAAGCATGGAGACCATATTTTATCTGCGTTTATCTACAGAACATAGCTCAGTGCTTGCATATTATATGTGTTCCTTACAGGATTGTAAATAAGTGAAATGAGTGATATGCTTCAAGGAAATTAATATCAGAGCACCGCATTAAATAGATGACAGAATGGAAAAATTGGTGATAGGGATAATTGTAAGAAAGCTATTGTAATAATCTAGTTGATAGGTAGTGAACACCTGACTGGCAAATGTGGCAGATAGAAGGGCCATGATGCAGACTAATAAGGAAGGGATTAGAGTGAGAAAAGATTCCAGATTTAAGAGCCATTGTCAAATCTTGATAGTATTCATTCATTAATTCACTCAATGTATATATAGTGCCCCTTCTCATGTCTGACACTATTATAGGGCCTGGGGATATAGAAATAAACAAAGGAAACAAACAAGCAAAAATAGTGTAAACTTAGTAAAAGAATCAGATTTAAAGGAGGAATGAAAGTAATACATTCAATCGCTTTTAGCTTGTCAAGTTTGACAGGTAGTAGGCAGTTGCGAATCTAGCACTAGAACTTTGGAGAGTTCAGATATTTAGATGAATATTTGGATGGTACTATGCAAAGGAAATAGTTTAGGATTCCCAGGGGGAAATGATTGTAGGAAGAATTAATGAGAAGATAGAGTCTTGTGAAAATTCTGGAATATAAATTTTGAAATAAAGAAAAAATATCTTATGAACAATTGAACAAGAGAAATAGAAGTTACATTTTTAGGGAGCATAGGCTGAGACATATTAAGCCAGAAACTGAGACTGTCATGAGGACTAATCACAGATATTCTGGTTTCCTTTCCCTTCTGGGAGCACAATAGGATTACCCATCTTTAATCCTCTTCGAATTAGGTGATACTGTGTGATTTACACTATGAGTGGAGTAATGTGGTTGATTTCCAGCTGGAAGCTTTAAGAGACAGAGCATAATTTGTCATCTCCCTTCTCTCCTGCGTGCTCATTAAAGAACACATTTAGATAAAGTCCTCCATTAGGCTGGATCCCTGAGTGACACCATGAGTAGAGCTCTCTGCTGATCTGTGCTGGACATGTAGTATGAGTGAAAAGTAAACCTTTGTCATGTTAAACCATTGAGCTTTGAGGGTCGTTTGTTACTGTAGCATAACCCAAACTATCCTGACTGATGATACCCAGGCTAAACTGCTGTAATTCAAAACTTGAATATCTGTATGCCACGTGGTCATTCATGGTCACAGGTTCCTTCCATTTTTATAGCCATCCCACCCCTCTAGTGTATTTCTTCATCTACCTGGTTAAAGATTATTCACTAGTTCCACACCCATATTCTAGCTCTAAGAAAGAAACAAAGGGCAATCAATTTACTTTTAAGGAAGTGTAGTTACTGTTGTAGACATCACTCTTTCTCACATTCCATTTGTGAAAACCCAGTCACAGGGTCCTACCTAACAGCACGGGATGCTGGTAAAAGTAGGAACTAGCTGGGCAGTTATGGATTCTACTAAATCTGGAGGAAAGTGGGGTGGGTTCTATTACTAAAAAGAAGAAAAAAATTGGATACTGGGGACAAAGTACTGTGCCTACTGCTTAACATGTCCAAAGAACTGAAGTAAAAGTAGTATAGTTATGGCTGGAGAATAGAGTGAGACATGGACAGTAACTCAAGGAGAGACAGAAGAGGTAAGTGGGGCTGAGATCAAGGAGGGCCTGCCAAGGTTTATTTAAATGTGATGGAAAGTCACTAAAAAGCGTTTAGGTGGGGGAGCATCAGGTTTGAATTTTAAAAGATTTTTCTGGTTACAAGAGGGGAGAAAAATTGAAGATCAATTAGTCAGTTTTTGCGAGATCCAGGTAAGAGCTGGTAGTCACTTAGACTGGGACAGGGGTCACTTAGACTGGGACATGGAGAAAGGGAGATGATAAATTGCACAGTTATGTAGAATGAAGAATCAAGAACATTGAAAGATGTGGATGAAGAATATAGGAGGTGAGGGAAAGGGGAGAGTTAAAGATGTTTGTAGATATTCTGGCTTTAGGACTGAGGTGGATAGTGCTGTCATTTTCTGGAGGGAAAATTCTGGCAGAGGAGCAGGTTTACCAGGGGAGAGATGAATGTCATTTTGAGCATGTTGAGTTTAATGTCCTAATGGTACATACAAATGGTGATCTCTAGGAGCTAATTCTATATCTATGGGCTTGGGATCAGGAGAGCGATCTAGGATACATCAAAAGGATTGGGCATTGTTAGCGTATGGATGATAATAAAATTCTAGGAGATGGATGAAATGGCCCAGGGAAAGTGGATTTGGAAGAAAAGGGAACGCTGAACATCAACATTTAAGAAAATGGAAAACAAGGAAGAGCCAACAACAATAATTGAGGAGAAAGTGCCAAAGGCAAAGCAAAAACCCCAGGACATATGTGGCTTCATGAATGCTCTAGGAAGGATGGGTTTCAAAGAGAGATTGAGCAAAAGTATAAAAACTTGCTGAGAAGTAAAGCAAAATAAGTGCAGGAAAATAAAATTGGATAAAATATAGTCCAAACAGCAAAAGGGAGAAAGCAAATGAAATTGGTAGTATAAAAAAATAGAAAGCATGTAATAAAAGGATTGAAGTTAGATCAAATATAACAGCTGTATTATGAAAGGTAAAGGACAAGGTAAAGATTTTCAGATGGCTTTTAGAATCACAATTCAAATATATGTTGTTTACAGGATACTTTTCAGAAACACAAATTATTACTAACAGTTTTTGATGGACTAAGCAAATGCTGCTTAAAAAATGTGAATAATAAACAAATATGGAATGGTTAATTCTACAAAAAGCCAGTCCAGGTTCATGAATCAATTTGAAAACATGTAAGGTAAAAAAATGTTCTGAAAAAAATAAAAATGAACTCAAAAGCAGGAATGAAAACCACCTTCCTAAAGGACTTTAGGGGAGGGTCGAAGGGCTGGGTGGGCAGTGAGATCCGATGTCCTCAACCTGGGCGGGAACTCCCCAGATTCACAGTCACAGAAAGCCAAAAGCAATTTTTTTTTTTAGAAGAGAAGTCTTGATAAATTATCAAAATAAAAAATAAAAGAAATAAAATATAAAAATTTAAAAGTTTCAATAAAAAAACTGAAAATATTTTTCTAAAAAGATTTGAGGGTTGAAAAGCCTTATCTCTTATGTCTTTTAAGTTCGACAAATTACTTCCTTGAATCTAGACAAAGGAAAGTTAAATTTTTTTTCAAAATTGAAAGAAATAGATTGGACTTTATCAAAATAAAAAACTTTGTGCATCAAAGGACATCATCAGGAAAGTAAAGAAACAGCCCACTGAATGGGAGAAAATATTTGCAAATTATATACTGGATAAGGGTTTGGTAACCAGAATATATGAGTACAAAAGACTCTTACAACTTGACAATAAAAAGACAAATAGCCCAGTTATAAAATGAGCAAAAGGTTTAAACAGACTTTTCTCCAAAAAGGAAATACAAATGGCCAATAATTCCATGAAAAGATGTTCAATGTCATTATTAGTCATTAAGAAAATGCAAATCAAAACCACAATGAGATACCATTTCACACACACTAAGATGATTAGAACCTGTATCTTTCAAAACCATGAACTCAACTTTCACTTTAAGAAACCAGAAAAAGCAGAACAAATGAAACACAAAGTAAGCAGAAGAAAGGAAATGGTAACAATCAGATGAAATAAAAAAAATGCAATAGACAAAAACAATATGAAAAATGAATGCAACATAAAACTGGTACTTTGAGGATATTGTTAAGATTGACACATCTGTAGATAAATTAATCAGAGCAGAGAGAGAGAGAGAGAGAGAGAGAGAGAGAGAGAGAGAGAGAGAGAGAACATAAATACCCAACAGCAGGAATAAGAGAGAAGACATGACTACACACTGTGCACATATTGAAAAGATAATAAGGGAATATTTTGAATTTTATGCCAATAAATTAGACAACTGATATGAAATGAATAAATCACTTGAAAGACAGAAACTATTAAACGTCACTCAAGAAAAAGTAAATAAACTTTATTAAAAAAACGAATTTGTAATAAAATATTAACCAGAAGAACTTTGATGAAAGAAACCAAACAGCTAAATAAATGGAGAGGTATTCCGTGTTCATAGATAGGAGGGTTCAATATTATTAAGGTGTCAAATTTATCTATATGTTCAATGCAATCCAAATCAAAATTCCAGCAAGTTATTTTGTGGATGTTGACCAACTATTTCTAAAGTTTATATGGAAAGACTACAGACCAGAACAGTCAACACAATGTTGAAGAAGCAGAACAAACTCAGAAGACTGACACTACCTGACTTTAAGACTTATCATAAAGGTACAATAATCAATAAAGTATGGTATTGGGAAAATAATAGACAAGTAGATCAATGGAATGGACTAGAGAGCCCAGAAATAGACCCACACAAATATAATCAACCTATATTTGCCTAAGAAGCAGAGGCAATTCAATGGAGTATGGATAGTCTTTTAAATGTTACTGAAACAGCTAGAAATAAATAAAATTCATCTAGACACAGACCTTATATCTTTCACAAAAATTAACTC